TTGCAGTAGAGGATGGAACATAGAGGAAAACAGAACATAGGGAAGGAGGTAATCCTGAAAAGAATTCATTGAGGAAATTTGTAAGAATTCTCAAGAAAACACCAGAGAAGTGGACGATAGTTCAGGGGTTATACTAATGTCCTGGTGTTAATACCAGTATATATAGAATATGGGGAACATAAAGCTTAATTAAGAGCTTGAGGCTCATGCCTGTAATCCCAGCACTTTGGGAGGCTGAGGTGGGCGAATCATCTAAGGTCGGGAGTTTGATACCAGCCTGACCAACATGGAGAAACGCCATCTGTACTAAAAATACAAAATTAGCCGGGCATGGTGGTAATCCCAGCTACTTGGGAGGTTGAGGCAGGAGAATTGCTTGAACCCAGGAGGCAGAGGTTCGGGTGAGCTAACATTGCACCATTGCACTCCAGGCTGGGCAATAAGAGTGAGACAGAGCTTCATCTCAAAAAAAAAAAAAAAAAAAAAAAGAGTTTGGAGTCGAATGTCAAATATATTAGAGTATAACTTCCCGCTCCACCACTTACTAACAGTGTGACCTTGGGCAAGACACTTTTCCTCATCTATAAAATGAGGGTGAAAATAATGGAATCTATCATATGAAGTTGTGATAAGAATTGATATAATACATATAAAGTGGTTAACCGGTGTCTAGCACATAGTAAGTACTCAAAAAATGTTGGAAGTTATTTTTGTTGTTAATATGATTTTATCATCATTACTATTAGAAATCTTAACAATATTTAGTTAATAAAATCTAAGAGGTTTTGTATTTCCAAGTTGAGATCTGCAACTAGAAGTGAACTGGTAAATGCTCTTTAAGAGGAATAAACCTAGTAGAAGGAAAGAGAGATCACCATTGTGTGAAATACTGGTATGCCTATATGGAAATCAGCTAACTTAAAGGAAGCATAGTGGAAAACAACTGGGAGAGGATAAAAGAAGTTAGAGAAATGATGTCACTGTGGAAATACACTAGTCCAACGGAATGTTTCTTGCTAAATAAAGACAACAAAAGTAAAACAGATTTATGATATATTTATCTTATAAGAGGTTTGAACCATTTAGAAACATGGTAGATGGATTTCTTTGTCCCGGACATAGTTTTATCACCCAGAGGATTGTGGAAGCAGTAAGTAGTATTGCTAAGGAAGAATAAGCTGTATTGTGAGGAGTGATAGAAAGTTCAGAAAGGATTCATAACAGTAAAGAAAGGTAATGCTAGAAAAACAGGCTAATTTATAGGAAAGTTTTTTATTTTTGTTTTTTTTTAATTCAAAAGAAAAACAGGTATCATTCTGTGGTCCAAAGCTCTGAAGAGGAAACAAAGATGAAGTGATGTTTTTCCTGCAGGCGAAGCAATGTGACTGTGCTTCCATGAAGCATACTTCCATAGTAGTTTGACACTAGAGGAGTCTAAGTTGAAAATAGTCAAATTCTCAGCCTTTCTTTCTCCCTAGCCTCATCCCCTGCTGCTCTCTCCCCCACTCCATTCTGCACACAAACATTTATTTTTAAATATCCAGTAACTCCCTGTAGTTACTTCTCTAACCTTATCTCATCCTATTCTACCTGCTTGCTTACTCTGCTCCAGCCACACTGCTTACCTTCCTGTTCCTCAAACACACTCGGTAGGCTTTAGCCTTCGACTCTTTGCCCTGGCTCTTTCCTCTGCCTGGGATGCACGTCCGTCAGGGATTCATATGAATGTCTCCCATCTCCTTCAGTCTTTGCTCAGATGAAACCTACCCTGACCACCTTCTTTGTCCCTTTTGTTCACAGATTTATCATACATACCTAGAACAGTTTGCTGACACATAGTGGGCACTCAATAAGTATTTGAATGGATGAATGCTTTCCCTCATATTTGTATCTGCCTTCCCCCCACCCTCTATCACAGTGTTCCTTCCTTCCCTTTCCTGTCTACTTGGCAATTTATTTTGAGTAGAACCCTATGTGTTACCTCTGTTGTGACTTAGCTGCAACAAGATTAATCTTTCCTTTTACTTCTTTTTAGTATAGCATATATCCCTTTGTTTTGTAATTGTTTGAATACATTTTTTACTCTCTTGGGAAGCAAATCTAACTTATTTTTACTTTCCTATTACTGAAGATGAATGGTGGCTAACATAGTAAACACCCATTAATTTTTTTTCTTGAACCGAAAGTCATTGTGAGATAGTATAATAAAGAAGTAGGTTAGTTTTAAGCTACCTTAATAAAATTCAGTGTTCAGATTCAAGGAGACATTGAGCCCACCAACACACCTTCATTGGTCAGAGCACATCAACAGTATTATATCTGGGATATCATACTTTAAAGGATGGCATTGAAAAACTAATAAAATGCGAACAGAGTAGAAATTACTGTCATATGAAGATTGAAAACTGGAAAGTTTAGCTAAAAGGAACAAGTCCTAATTGTTATCTTCAAATATTTAAAGGGCCACAATATTGAAGAATTGGAATATTGTTTTAAACTGGAAACCTCTGAGAGGAGGACAGCCAGAATAGCAGCATATTAATATTTGTGGGTTTAAAAAGTAGGAATGGACCCAGCATGGTGGGTCACACCTGTAATTTCAGCACTCTAGGAGGCTGAGGCAGGTAGATCACTTGAGCCCAGGAGTTCAAGACCAGCCTGGGCAGTGTGGCAAAACCCCATCTCTACAAAAAGTACAAAAAATTAGCTGGGTGTGGTGGTATGCTTCTGTAGTCCCAGCTACTCAGGAGACTGAGGTGGAAGGATCGCTTGAGCCCAGGAGACAGAAGCTGCAGTGAGCTGTGGTCGCACCACTGTATTCCAGTCTGGGTAATGGAGTTAGACCCTGTCTCAAAAAAACTAAAAAATAAAAATAAATAAAAAATAAAAAATAGGAATGTATATGTATATATGTGTATGACATGTTTTGAAAAATAATCAAATTTTTAAGTAATTTTCTTTTTTTTATTTTTCATGCAGTGCCTTTATTACTTAAGTCAAAATGTACTATGACTTATGGTTTTAATCAGAATTTTAGTTGAATCATTTAATCTATCTAGATGGATTAATTTTCTGTAGAAATCAGTTAATTTTTATGTGTGTTAAATTTTGAAATAAAGTAACTAAAAAAAATGTTTTTAAATTAGAAACCTCAACTTTCTTTAGCTCCAAAGACATTTTTCTTTAAAATTTTACATGTTTTTGAACAAAAATGTAGGGATGTTTTTCATCCCTATACCTTTTTTTTTGGTATTATAAAACTGGTAAATTAAGGATTAGAGCTTCCCAATCTGCTTAATTATGTGTGGCATTTCTAGCTTATTTTATATGCCCTTTTGCTTTTTCAGTATAGGGAAAATAAATAAAAGGCAGATTAGGCCGGGCGCGGTGGCTCAAGCCTGTAATCCCAGCACTTTGGGAGGCCGAGACGGGCGGATCACGAGGTCAGGAGATCGAGACCATCCTGGCTAACACGGTGAAACCCCGTCTCTATTAAAAAATACAAAAAACTAGCCGGGCGAAGTGGCGGGCGCCTGTAGTCCCAGCTACTCAGGAGGCTGAGGCAGGAGAATGGCGGGAACCCGGGAGGCGGAGCTTGCAGTGAGCTGAGATCCGGCCACTGCACTCCAGCCCGGGGGATTTTCAAAAAAAAAAAAAAAAAAAAAAAAAAAGGCAGATTAGGCCTAAAGAGAATTCAGAGGTATTTACTTACTTGTAATGTGCATATAGGCACCACCAGAGAATCCTAAAGTAATTTTGTATCTAAATGGTAAAAATTAGCTGAGAAAAGTGGCACACACCTGTAATCCCAGCTACTCAGGAGGCTGAGGTGACACTTTTTAAAAAAACATTGTAAAAATTGCATAGAAAGTGTCCAAATATTTATTTTTATTGAAAGAATTTGTCTTCTGATATACTGTGTGAGAATTAAAGTGACCTTAATGTACTTTGTACCTGACATGAATGTGTAGTTAATGCATGCCAATGGGTGGTTTGGGTGCTTTAGGATAGCCAACTCATCTCAAAAATTTTTTACTTATTATCTTTCACTCATATATTTTTTTCCCTTTCTGTTCCATTTTTAGTAACTCTTCTACATAAAAATTTTTTACTGGGCTGGGTGCAGTGGCTCACACCTATGATCTCAGCACTTTGAGAGGCTGAGGTGGGTGGATCACCTGAGGCCAGGAGTTTGAGACCAGCCTAGCCAAAATGGTGAAACCCTGTCTCCACTAAAAATACAAAAATTAGCCAGGCATGGTGGCTTACGCCTGTAATCCCAGCTACTCGGGAGACTGAGGCAGGAGAATCACTTGAACTTGGGAGATAGAGGTTACAGTGAGCCAAGATTGTGCCACTGCACTCCAGCCTGGACAAAAGAGTGAGACTCCATCTAAATAATAATAATAAGAATAAGAATAGTGTATTGGCACAGGGCAGCTAATTGTAGAATTTTTGCTTTAGTGCTTCTGGAGGGTCTTGACATTTACATTGTCTGCTCTATGCCAGGTGCTATCTTTGACTGCTAACTTACACAATCTCATTTAATATTTGTAAAGAGGTTATATAAAGGCTAATGCTAATTTAAAAATATGTAAGTGTTGTTTAATTAATTTGATCTAGTATGCTCTAGTATCAGCACAATTAAGACAGTTTATGTTATATCAAGCATCTTTTCTTGCAATAAGAAAAATGAGTTAATTTATCTCAATTATATAGATTTTAAAAACATAGACCAATGTGATAGAGGCACTTCATACAAACTCTGAAAAATATTATATGCGATTTAGTCACTTGTTAGTAGCCCTATTTACATAGTTATTTGTTAGAAATAATGAAAAAAGAAAGACTTTATTTTGTTTAAACCTTCATTTAAAATATTCTAATTTTGAATTAAAACTTTTTGCAATGTTTTGGAAATTTTATGCTGTAACAATCTAAACATAATGTGAAAAACAGGAAGATTTCATATTAAAGTTTGTTCATTTTCCTAAACCTAGGATGGTAAGCGGATGTTTGGCACCTATTTTCGTGTTGGTTTTTATGGAACCAAGTTCGGGGATTTGGATGAACAAGAATTTGTTTACAAGGAGCCTGCAATAACCAAACTTGCAGAGATATCTCACAGATTGGAGGTGAATGCTGTGGTGGTTCATAAAATGTCATCTTCAGTTTGTATTCTCTCTGATGATTAGACTTTCAGATCCAGATCTAATCATTTAATAAGCCAGATCTTGCCAAATAAACTACTCTGTTAGAGAATAAGGATTTTTAATAGTTACAATAATACTCTTTCAAATCTTTTATGGCAGCTATAAAATAGTAATACTGTTTATTTTTTGAGACTATTTTCACACATATTTTGGAAACCCCTGTATCCTTCAGAATTACTGCGACTTACGGAGAAATATATAGTATAATCCCACATTTTGTTGAAAAAGAGTAGGTAATAATTAAACTAGAACCAGAACCCCAAGAAATTTCTGACCCAAGCGTATTATCTCTTTGGCTTAACTGGTTCCTGGTGAGATATCTTTAGAATGTAAAAGCCTGAAATCACACCTTAAAAACACTTCCTTTAACCTTTATAACTTCTTAATTTTCACCATAAATGATTGAGTTTCATATTTACTGGGCTAACCAGTTTTTTTCTGTTATAGTTGTTCTTTCCAACCTTTCTCTGTTTTTGTTACTCAAAGTATAGTGGATGGACCAGAAACATTGGGATCACCTGGGAGATTGTTTGAACTACAGAACCTCAGACCCCACCCCAGCCCTTCTGAATCAAAGTCTGCATTTTAACAAGATCCCAGGCGATTTCTATTCACAAAGCAGTTGGAGAAGTAGTACTCTAGGCTTGTTTTTATTCTCACTGATGTTAATTTCTTGATGTTATATTCCTATTGGTGACTTCTCTGGCCAAACTGACATAAATTGGCTCAAACTGTTACTTTTTATTTTTCAAGAGGTTAGGTGTAAGTCTTGGGAAATATTAATTGAGACTGTATTTATCAAACTTACTCAATTATAAAAATCACCTTTGGGAGAGCAGTGGGGGTTTCTCCTTTGAAGATTCAAATTCTATTTTTCCTTTTGAATAGTTTCATCCTTTGCCCACGCTGCTACTCAGTGTCATGTGGAATAGTCACTATATTCTTGACCTAAGGTTGCCTTTTCAAAATGTAAACCTATATGAACTTCAACAGGTCAATGCTTTTATTTGAAAATTCTGGGATTAAAAAAATAGTTCCTAAAAATAGATGTTTATTCATTGACCCATGGTCTGTAAAAAGCAAGCCACAACAAACTCAGTAAAACTAAGATTTTTATACATCAACAATAATGAGTTTCTTTTGTCTTTGCTTTCTGTTCCCTTTTGTTTCTCTTGAGGACTTCTTGTGGAATCCTGTGTTTTTAGTGGAGAAAATTGTTGTTTTCTGATATTTTGTGTTATTTAACGTTTGTGGATTGGAATAATGTCAAATAAATATGGACCGAGACCATGCTAATTTATAAGCTAGTATAATTTTTATAAGCCTAAATCATTATGTTTTAATTATTGATATGATTGTACAGAATGCACTAATTCTCCTAATTTTGCTCAGGAGTCACCCTCAGGCCTTCTCTATTTCCCAATCTCTTTAACTTCATATAAAATGTTTCTTTTTCTTTATTGTAGGGATTTTATGGAGAAAGATTTGGAGAGGATGTGGTTGAAGTAATCAAAGACTCTAATCCTGTAGACAAGTGTAAATTAGATCCTAACAAGGTATAGTTGATTCGACTATGATGACATGTAGGCATCTCTTTGAGATCCTCTGTGCAATTTTAAGAAAGACTAAATGATGACTTAACAGTGAAGAAATGAAGGACTTTTTTCTTTCCTAGGCGTATATTCAGATTACCTATGTGGAGCCATACTTTGATACATATGAGATGAAGGACAGAATCACCTATTTTGACAAAAATTATAATCTTCGCCGATTCATGTACTGTACACCCTTTACTTTAGATGGCCGTGCCCATGGGGAACTTCATGAACAATTCAAAAGGAAAACCATTCTGACTACATCTCATGCCTTTCCTTATATTAAAACAAGGGTCAATGTCACTCACAAAGAAGAGGTAAGTCCATAAATGAGCAAACAGCATTAGTGAAGCAAATATATTCAAGCCATGTAACAACAACTTAGATGTACCAGAAGATATGTACCATCCCTTACACCATAACATATTAGAACTTTACCCATTTTTGAGTCCTTAATTTTTTACTTCTTTTCTAAGATCCTAATTCACCCCCAGCTTTTTCTTTAAAAGGTTGATTTTTTTTTTTTTTTTCATTTGGGGATCCAAGTTTGGAATTTTATTGTTACATAAAAGTTTACAATTGATTTTTTTTTCTAATTTCAGTTGATTATACATAAAGTTCATTAAATAGTATTCAGTCAGTACACCAATTTAACAGATGCTCTTTTACTCAGATCATCTTAACACCAATTGAAGTTGCTATTGAGGATATGCAGAAAAAGACACAGGAGTTGGCATTTGCAACACATCAGGATCCTGCAGACCCCAAAATGCTTCAGATGGTACTCCAGGGATCTGTAGGCACAACAGTGAATCAGGTTAGTGCTTTTTGCTAGCACTGAATGATTTAAGCTGTAAATATGATTTGGGATAATTTCAGATCACAAATAATTGTTAAGTCAAATGAAAAGCATCTACCTTCTCTACTGCCTGTATTTTTCTATCTATGCATTCTTATATATTCTATTAAGAAGGAATCAATTCACTTAAAATAATATTTCCTTAAAAAGCTTGTACTAAAAGACTGTGATCTTTAAAACAAAGACTCGTTTTCAGAGCTGTGCACATATATGTGAACCTCTACTATGTTAGGTTCTCCCTGATGTTACCTTCTCCAGATCTCCTTTACAATAAGTTGTGAGGATTAAATAAGTGATATGGAATCATTTTTTTTAATTTGAATAATATAGTGACACAATAAATTACTGTTCTTTTGTCATATGCAGATTAGAAGCCATCCCCATTAGTCTTTGTGATTGGTTCATTAAAATTATCTTGTTGATGATTTTAGGCATGGCCCCAGTCTTAGGAATATTCCATGATAAGGGAAAATTCAGAAAGGCTTCAAGTAAAATTTCCTTTACCATGTCTTAACTACTTTTCAGATTAAAGGAACAAAGCCAAAAAATGCCCCACCAAAACTGAAATAAATACCTTAAGACCTTTACCTCCTAGAAACATGCTTGATTTTAAGGTTTTATCTGCAAATGATGTAGCTTACAAAAGATATCTTCTTTAACACAATGTCCGGAGCACCTTTGGAATACTGAGGGAAGCTGTTTTAGCAAAATCAACACTGATAATCAGCGGACTGGCAAATGTAGTAGCTTGACAACTTTTACATCCAGGATCCATTTTAAAATGTGAAAAATACAAAGCAAAATACATTAATGAACACAGTAGTCAGTCCTTGAGTTCCTGTTCTGTTTCTTTGAAGAATAAACTAATAAGAAGTTAATTACAGTAGATAAGAATGTAGGATGAAATTAGAAAATACTGAAACAGTCTGTCTGTGGAGTTTTAATATAGACGTAGGCACATATGTATTAAGCTTAAATGTAGCCATGTCAGTGCTAAGAAAAATCATTTGAGTAAATTCTGTCTGTGATTTTAGAGATAACAAAAAAAACCCAAAAAACACTTCTTGTTTTATTTTCTTATTTTGCAGGGGCCTTTGGAAGTTGCCCAGGTTTTTCTATCTGAAATACCTAGTGACCCAAAGCTCTTCAGACATCATAATAAACTGCGACTCTGCTTTAAAGATTTTACTAAAAGGTATTCAAGGCTTTCTGCATCAAGATCTTCAAACTGAGACTGTCCAATACCACAGTATGACATAAGGGCCTTAAGGAACTATTGAAAAGAAAAAATAGGCCAGGCACAGTGGCTTACACCTGTAATCTCAGCACTTTGGGAGGCTGAGGCAGAAGAATCATTTGAGGCCAGGAGTTTGAGACCAGCCTGGAAAACAAAGCAAGACCCCCTCTCTACGAAAAATATTTAAAAATTAGCCAAGTGTAGGTTGTGTACCTGTAGTGTCAACTACTCAGGAGGCTGAGACAGGAGAGTCGCTTGAGCTAGGAGTTGGAGGCTGTAGTAAACTATGATTGTACCTGCACTCCAGCCTGGGTGACAGAGCAGGAGCCTGTGTCAGAAAGAGAGAGAGGAAAAAAAAGAAACAGAAAAGTGGTTGACAATAATAAGTAATCTGTGTAGAATTTACTATTCTTTAATAGCATATACTTATTCCCCTCTCCCACAACCCTACCATACTCCATAGTGCCGTATATTTAATTTTAAAAATTAGAAAAGCCAAGGCTCAGGAAATTTTATTAACTTGAAACTACTATTAGACCATTTATCTTAAAAGCTACTATTTATTGTGAATCTTCAATATTTGAGTTTCTGCTTCCTTCCCCCGAGGGAACTTACAAGCAGTAAACTTGGGAGCAAAAAACTTGTGTTCAGATCCTGACCTTATCATTGATTGTGCTTTTCCAGGTCACTTAATTTCTATGATCCTGCATTTTCTAATCTATAAAGTAAGGATAATGATATCTACTTTATCTATAGGGAAGCTGTGCAGATTAGGTGAAATAATTTATGGGTGTGTCAGTCCCCAAGACTGTCCCCAATTTCAGTGATTTGCTAGGAGGACTCACAGGACTCAGCATATAGTTATACTACTGGTGCCTGTGATTTATTGCACTGAAAGAATACCAAGTAAAGTCAGCAAAGGGAAAAAGTGTGTGGAGTGAAATCTGGAGGAAACCAGGAGCAAGCTTCAAAGGGTCCTCTGCCAGTCAAGTCACATAGGACTTACTTAATTCCTTCAGCAATGAGTTGTGACAGCAGGTGTGAAATGTGGGAACCTCATTAGAGACTCAGTGCCAAAGGTTTTATTCAGGGTCTGGTCATGTAGGCACCCTCTCTCTGACATGTACCAAAATTCTAGACTCTCAGAAGGAAAGCAAGTAATTCAGCAGGTGAACTGTGATAGTAAAAGAAAGAAACCTGTTTCCTGCTTTTAGAATTGACTGATTTCTGGTGTTAATTTTATTATTTGGGAGGTTTAAGAAAACAACAACAAAATACACCCTACCATCTTTGTAAGCCAGATGATTATGGAACAGTACATACTTCTTTAGGTCATAGACATTTAGTAACAGACAATCAGGTGCTTTGTTTCTTGCTTTTGTTTTTGGAATATTTTACCGTGACTACAATTCTTAAATGTCCTCCTTTTGTATACATTTACTATAATGAATTCCTGTAGTCAACAGGTCTCCTTAAGTGTTGCTGTCTGTAGAGGAGGTTTTCTCCTTTTATATTGCAAAAAACAAACAAGAGGTCGGGCATGAGTGGCTCACGCCTGTAATTCCAGCACTTCGGGAGGCCGAGGCGGGCGGTCAGGAGTTCAAGACCAGCCTGGCCCACATGGTGAAACCCCTCTCTACTAAAAAATACAAAAATTACCCAGGTGTGATGGTGGGCACCTATAATCCCAGCTACTTGGGAGGCTGAGGCAGGGAGAATTGCTTGAACCCGGAAGGTGGAGGTTACAGAGAGCCAAGATCATGCCACTGCACTCCAGCCTGGGCAACAGAGCGAGACTCCGTCTAAAAAAAACAAACAAAAAAAAAACGGAACAACAGCAACAAAAACTACATAATATAAACCTTACAAAGGAGTTATAGGGAATACTACATTTTTAATTTTTGGTGTTACCATTCAGTATGGTAACTAAATAGTATGCCTTTATGCATATATATTTTGTAATAGTCATATGTATAATCTTAAATTATTTTTCAATTAAAGTTTAAACTGTTATTCTAGTGGTTATATTGTTCAGATTAATATACTGTAGTCATAATATACTTATAATCTTAAATTCTTATTTTTTAATTAGAGTTTAAATTATAATTCTAATGGTTACGTTATTTCCTAAAATTAATATACTAGAATTTAAGTTGAATTTGAATGTGGTATAGTTTATACTACAATGTATCTTTTTCTTTTGTTAAATTAAAATTTCCAGCATGAGATGACTGAGGCACAGTACCTGAACATTTTTTGTTTTAGAGACAAGGTCTCACTTTGTCACCCAGACTCTGTAGTGCAGTGACACAATCACAGCTCACTGCAGCCTCGAACTCCTGGGCTCAAGGGATCCTCCTACCTCAGCCTTATGGTATGCACCACCATGCCTGGTTATGTTTGGTTGGATGGGGGGTTTTGGTAGAGATGAAGTCTTGCTATGTTGCCCTGGCTAGTCTCGAACTCTTGGCCTCAAGCGATCCTCCCACCTCAGCCTCCCCAAGTACTAGGATTACAGGGAAGAGCCACCGTGCCCAGCCTACATGAACATTTTTATTGGCTCACAATATGTAGTACATTCTAAAAAGTGTCTAAGTACAGTTGACCTTGAACAGCACAGAGGTTGGGGTGCCAATCCCTTGTACAGCTGAAAACCTGTGTAAACTTTTGACCCCCCCCCAAAACTTAACTAATAGCCTGCTATTGACTGGAAACCTTACTGATAATATAGTCATTAGGTACATAGTTTGTATGTTATATATATTACATACTGTCTTCTTACAATAAAGTAAGCTAGAGAAAAGAAAATGTTATTAAGAAAATCATAAAGAAGGCCAGGCACGGTGGCTCATGCCTGTAATCCCAGCACTCTGGGAGGCCAAGGTGGGTGGATCATGAGGTCAGGAGTTCGAGACCAGCCTGGCCAAGATGGTGAAACCCCGTCTCTAATAAAAAATACAAAAATTAGCTGGGCACAGTGGTGAGCATCTGTAATCCCAGCTACTCGGGAGACTGAGGCAGGAGAATCACTTGAACCCGGGAGACAGAGTCTGCAGTGAGCCAAGATCACACCACTGCATTGTAGCCTGGGTGACAGAGCAAGACTCCATCTCAAAAAAAAAAAAAAAACGAAAATCATAAAGAAGAGAAAATGTATTTTACTCTTCCTAAGTGGAAGTGGATCATCATAAAGGGCTTCATCCTCCTTGCCTTCATGTTGAGGAGTCTGTGGAGGAGGAGGAGGAAGAAGTGGGGTTGATCTTGCTATCTAAAGAGTGGCAGAGGCAGAAGAGGTGGAGGAGGTATCAGGGGAGGCAGAAGAGGCAAGCACACTCAGTATAACTTTACAGACATAATTTTTTTTTAAATTTCTGTAGGTTTTTGGGGAACAGATGGTATTTGGTTACGTGAGTAAGTTTTTTTTGTTTTGTTTTGTTTTGTTTTTTGTTTTGTTTTGTTTGAGACAGAGTCTCGCTGTGTTGCCCAAGCTGGAGTGCGGTGGTGCAATCTTGGCTCACTGCACCTTCTGCCTCCCGGGTTCAAGCAATTCTTCTGCCTCAGCCTCCTGAGTAGTTGGGATTACAGGTGCCCACCACCATACGCGGCTAATTTTTTTATTTTTAGTAGGGACAGAGTTTGATCATGTTGGTCAGGCTGGTCTTGAACTCCTGACCTTGTGATCCGCCTGCCTCGGCCTCCCAAAGTGGAGTAAGTTCTTTAGTAGTGATTTGTGAGATTTTGGTGTACCCATCACCCGAGCAGTATACACTAAACCCAGTTGATAGTCTTTTATCCCTCATCCCAGTCTTTTATCCCTCATCCCTTCCCACCTTTTCCCACCAAGTCCCCAAAGTCCACTGTATCATTGTTATGCCTTTGCATCCTCATAGCTTAGCTGCTGCTTAATGAGTGAGAACATACAATGTTTGGTTTTCTCATTCCTGAGTTACTTCACTTAGAATAAATAATCTTTAATCCCATACAGGTTGCTGCAAATGCCATTTACTCATTCCTTTTTATGGCTGAGTAATATTCCATCATATGTATACACCATAGCTTCTTTATTCATTGATTGATGGGCATTTGGGCCAGTTCCACATTTTTGCTATTGCAAATTGTGCTGCTATAAACATGCATGTGCAAGTATCTTTTTCATGTAATGAGTTCTTCTGAGTAGATACCCAGTAGTGGGATTGCTGGATCAAATAAATGGTAGTTCTACTTTTAGTTCTTTAAGGAATCTCCACACTGTTTTCCATAGAGGTTGTACTAGTTTACATTCCCACCAACAGTGCAGAAGTATTCCCTTTTCACTGCATCCACACCAGTATCTTTTTTTTTTTTTTTTTTGGTTATGGCCATTCTTGTGGGAGTAAGGTGATATTGCATTGTGGTTTTGATTTGCGTTTGCCTGATCGTTAGTGACGTTGAGCATTTTTTCATATGTTGGCCATTTGTATATATTCTTTTGGGAATTGTCTGTTCATGTCCTTAGCCTACTTTTTGATGGAATTGTTTGTTTTTTTCTTGCTAATTTGTTTGTGAGTTCATTGTAGATTCTGGCTATTAGTCCTTTGTCAGAGGTATAGATTGTGAAGATTTTCTCCCACTCTGTGGGTTGTCTTGTTTACTCTGCTGACTGTTCCTTTTGCCATACAAAAGCTCTTTAGTTTAATTAAGTCCTCCCTATTTATCTTTGTTTTTATCGCATTTGCTTTTGAGTTCTTGGTCATGAAATCTTTGCCTAAACCAATGTCTAGAAGGGCTTTTTCTGAAGTTGTCTTCTAGTATAGTTTCAGGTCTTAGATGTAAGTCCTTGATCCATCTTGAGTGGATTTGTATAAGTTGGGAGATGAGGATCCAGTTTCATTCTCCTACATATGGCTTGCCAATTATCCCAGCATCATTTGTTGAATAGGGTGTCCTTTCCCCACTTTACGTTTTTGATTGCTTTGTCA